TGCATGGAGGACAGTTGAAAAAGTCGTTCGAAGTGAAGACCGGTGTTAGGCAAGGTTGCTTACTCTCACCCTTTCTCTTTCTCCTGGTGATCGACTGGATCATGAAGACGTCAACGTCTGAAGGGAAGCGCGGGATACAATGGACATCTAAGATGCAGTTGGATGATCTAGACTTCGCAGACGATCTGGCCCTTCTATCCCAAACGCAACAACAGATGCAGGAGAAGACGAACAGTGTGGCAGCAGCCTCAGCAGCAATAGGTCTCAATATACACAAACGGAAAAGCAGGATTCTCCGATACAACACTGCATGCACCAATCCAATCAAAATTGACGGAGAAGATTTGGAAGATGTAAAAACCTTCACATATCCGGGCAGCATCATTGATGAACAGGGTGGATCTGATGCAGATGTGAAGGCGCGGATTGGTTAAGCAAGAGCAGCATATTTACAACTGAGGAACATCTGGAACTCAAAGCAACTGTCAACCAACACCAAGGTCAGGATTTTCAATACAAATGTCAAGACAGTTCTACTGTATGGGGCAGAAACCTGGAGAAATACGAAAGCCATCATCCAGAAAATACAGGTGTTTATTAACAGTTGTCTACGCAAAATACTTCGGATGCGTTGGCCAGACACTACCAGCAACAGCATACTTTGGGAGAGAACAAACCAGATATCAACGGAGGAAGAAATCAGGAAGGAACCCTGGAAATGGATAGGACACACATTGAGGAACGCACCCAACTGCGTCACAAGACAAGCCTTCACATGGAATCCTCAAGGCCAAAAGAGGAGAGGAAGACCAAAGAACACATGACGCCGAGAAATGGAGACAGATATTAGAAAAATGGAAAAAAATTGAATAGAACTGGAAAGGAATGCTTAGGACAGAGTGGGTTGGAGAATGCTGGTCGGCGGCCTATGCTACATTAGGAGTAACAGCGTAAGTAAGTAAGTAAGTAAGTAAGTAAGTAAGTAAGTAAGTAAGTAAGTAAGTAAGTAAGTAAGTAAGTAAGTAAGTAAGTAAGTAGGTAAGTAAGTAAGTAAGTAAGTAAGTAGGTAAGTAAGTAAGTAAGTAAGTAAGTAAGTAAGTAAGTAAGTAAGTAAGTAAGTAAGTAAGTAGGTAAGTAAGTAAGTAAGTAAGTAAGTAAGTAAGTAAGTAAGTAAGTAATTAAGTAAGTAAGCAAGTAAGTAAGTAAGTAAGTAAGTAAGTAAGTAAGTGAGTGAGTGAGTAAGTGAGTAAGTAAGTAAGTAAGTAAGTAAGTAAGAAAGTAAGTAAGTAAGTAAGTAAGCAAATAAGTAAGTACTTGAAAACAACTACGCATTGCAACGCAGCTCCTGTCAAAGGTTTTCGTGCATTATGATCACTTTGTCGAGTATTCAAATGCTTTGACGAGGAAATGCTTCGAATTTCATATCACATCTATGTAAGACTACATTCAGAGTATTGTATATAAGCAGCTAGCCTATGTCTGGTATAGGATACTAACTCACTTGAGCGTGTCCAGAGTGTGGGAACAAAACTAGTGAAGGGTCAGTCTAAACTCTCTTACGATGGGCACTCAAAACGCTTAAACCTTTTCTCCTTGTTGTATCGTAAGACTCGAGGTGACCTTATACTGGCATTTCATATCTTTAACTATCATTTGGGTGTTAATATGTCTTATCTTTTTACTCCATCCAGCACTAATAATTTCCAAGATCATAGCAAGGAAGTTCGTAAAGCGCGATCTAATAAACTTAAAGTGGCGTCCCATGTTTCCCATCGAGTAGTCAATGGCTGGAACGCCCTACCCGAACAAGTGAAGACTGAACAAAACGGCGGGTAACTTTGAGTGGGTGGGGTTTTTGTCGTCGGCAGCGCTCCAGGGGTATCGCGACACTTTTTTTGCGCTACTTTTTTATTTCTGCTTTGTGCACAACCAAATTTCGAAATACATTATGAATAAATTTGAAAGTTTATTTTCCGTTTTCATAATTAGGTAAAAAGGGGTTTTTCCATTTTGCGTTACATGGTATCGCGAAGTCCTTGAAAATTCACTATTCAGGTGCTGCTATAATAGTTTTTCGGTGTTTGCATCGCAGATTAGCAATTATTTCTAGTTAGGTATACACTGATAGTAGACAATTCTTTTATTTTTATATGAAATAGCAAGATTCAGGCATATATCGTCATAAAAATTGTATTGTCGTCAAGGCTACCAAAACTGCGTTACAACTAACGATACCATGGTAAGATTTATCGTTTTTCCTATCTTTATCACAATTTCTGCTGATTTTCACTGTTTTGTTCGACTTTTATGGCAGAAATAGGTTTATAGTGAAAACATAAGGTGTCCTGAGTGTTGTAAATATTATGTATATGCTATAGATGATAATAACACATATCTTAAGATGTTAATATCACCTCCTACAGTTAGATATATTAGCCACCAGATGATTGTATTGCAGGAAATAAATCATAATCATGCGGTAGAGGTATAATTATGTGGGGATTCTGCCAAAGACCAATCTAAGATAGCATTACTACCTCTTTTGTAGATCTACACAATTATTTGGCTGTACCAAAGCATGTCATTGAGAGATGGTTGTGACTTTTTTCTTTTTTTAAATTCTGAATTCACGGGACGACTACCTCAATTCTCAATAGCCGTGCAATTGTTTTGATGTTCTACCTACATTTCAATAAATATTTTTCAGACAGCTTACTTTTTTACTTACATGGGAAACTGTAGAAGTGTTGAGAATGTGTGTTTGAGTGTCAGTGAACTTTTGAATAAATGCACATTCCTTATAAATAATACATCACGTGTTTCTTCTTTTGCAGATAATTTCAAATAACAATGAATTAGCAATTGCATTGGATATGCAAAACAATCGATGCTTAAGCTTCTGCTCTAGTGTTGTACAATAATACGCTTTACCTTTTAAATAAAATTTTTCAAAAACATGCCGGTTTTACGCTGTATTGCAGATTTATTTTGGTCTGTTGTTGAAAATAAAGGCGAACATAGTAGACCTTTGGGGTTATGTTAATGGATGGAAAATAGGGAGTTCTGTGTGTATTTAGGCGAAAAGCAGACAATTCAGCTGACATTTAGGCAAAAAGTGAGTAATTTATCGACAAAACGGCAAAAACAGTCGACATTCTGATGCGTTTTCCCCTTTCGCTACCAAAGCATTTACCCCTTTATTTCCCCTTTTTGGGTTGTCTGGGGAGCTACAATGTTTTGGCTGCCGGTATTATTGCCAAAATACCTGATAGCAGAAATAAGTACTGCTATAAAGCTGTCACGAGAAAGCATTGAAAAGTACGACTCGATAGTCAAGATATCTTGATCTAAGGTGACCAGATTGTGTGAGATCCTATGTGATGATCTTCGGAAATCAACCAAGGCCTGTCTAGCTTACGTGCTGATGCCGTAAATGACGATTACTCATAACTTACGTGGGACTAGAATAGAATATGCATCAAGAACTGCAGGTTACACAGGACGATTCAAAGTAAATTCACACAGCAGTCTTTATATATGTTCGTCGTCGAAGTTTCCGAAGTGCAATCTGTCCAAAGAATTAAATAATACATTCCGTGTACGTTGTGACCCAGACTTTCCTAAGCAACGCAAGAGATAAAGGAAATAAGCGTGATTGACTATCCAAAGAAAGGGTGTGCTAAATGCACTTTCGATCTGTAATTGAATACTGGTTTCCGTTTTTATATTAGTTTCTGGTAAACATTTATACTGAAATAACTTTCCTGTCTATCTTATTTCCAGCTAGCTTCGCAAGCGTTCACAGACCTAACGGGAACAATTCCTGAGAAATAGAAGTTATTTATTAATGGATCATTTGTGCTAGATTCAAACTTTAATAAACGTTTTCATTTATAACGCACCAGTTTTTTAATTACGGCAATTCGTATCTATCGTGACAGGTCGAAATTCGAACTACTAGTATGGTACACCATGTTCAAGGTTGCAGTATTTGGTAAACGGTATGTATGACTAATCGCGTGTGCGCCAAACTGGTAATTATTACACAAGAACGCGAAACAACACCCCTGTCTCACAGCTACATAAGACTGCACAGTACACTCCCTGCCGTTACGCTATAAGAATAAGTCAATGGCCATATAAATGAATTTATGTAAAACTAAAAACATTACAATATTATAACTTCTTGTTATCAAGAAGCATAGCTATGGTCTGTATTAACAATGGATTCTGACGTTGTAGCTTCGTCATTAGCACCGATTGAACTCATCAATTGTGCACATATGTCTTCCGATGCTTCGAGGCACGAACGGATGAGTTTACTTGCCAAAGGTTCACTAAGAGCATGGATTGAGTGGTAGTCGCTAGCGAACTTCTCTAGCAGATCATCACTCCCTGTAGAGATTGAGATGTTGTCCAGCGCACGAAGAACCAGGTCCATTATGTATTTTCTTGTCCACTTGTTGCTATGTCGAAATAAGTCTACAAAACATGTAGAGATAAAGGATTACACATACCTCCACGAATCAGATCTTTAGAATGTGCATACAAAATATGACCACAGGGCAGCATGTAGTCATTGAAGCGCAATATTTCGACCTGAAGGATAAATTCATTTGAAGTAAGGCATACGTAGATGACCGACGTCGTCTCCTTTGCCTAGGTTGTGTTGGCGAGTTAGAAGTTGTATGCTCTTCAGAAGAACGATTATTACTATCATCATCTACATCCTGAACGCAAGCATCTGACTCTAACGAACTGCGTTTACGTCCATATGTACAGACATAACTCACGAAAAAGTACTTTTGAGTTGGATCATCACTGTTCTCTTTGCATACTGACATAACGTACTTAGTACGCGTATACTAAAAAATATATTATTAACCACAGAAGTCATATTACCTATATTATGCATCATCACGATGGCATCGTCTTCGTTACTTGAAGAATGAACGTTACTAGACATGATGTGGCTGAACTCAATTCAAATCTAAAAATGTCTTGGTTTGACCGCTTCTGAAAATTTTCACGAATTGTCGATGTGACGCACCAATCAGTTTGCTACAGTTTGACCTTCAAGTGCTCGCAACTCCCATCAGTGGACGATACCCTAGGAGCGTTGCCTTTGTCGTCCCGTGCTGCAGATTTCCTCGGGAGGTTTGTCGCAAACGAGACATCTGCGCACGTCATCCGTGTGCTATTTTTTATATTATTCGGTGGGCTGATTATTTACCAGACCACAGTTTACACAATGCCTAGACATAGTCTAATTTACCTTCATCCTAACCTCCCAAGTCTGGGGAAATTTTGGGGAATCCCCCAAAGTCAAATGACCTTCACCAAGGTTTAGGGGAAATATCGGGGGATTTCCTCAGATTTGAGGAAATTTTGGGGTTTTTGTACCATTTACTCGGAAATTTCTACAGCGGCTTCCTCAAAATTAAGAGGTTGGGTTTGTGCGGTGAAAATACCTCAATCTTCAGTAGTAAACATAATAGGTCTATTGACCTATACTAATCCTTGCAGTTTGTAACAATATAGCGGTCCAGACTCAGATTTCTGTAATAAGGACAAAGGGCCTATGGCTTGTGTTATTCCTTTGCTAGTATGCTTCAGTGAGTGTCCAATCTTCTCTTGAGTGAGTCAATTGATAGTGCGGACACCACTGATTCGGGTAACAGGTTCCAAGTATTGATGACTCAGTGTGAAAGATTGTATGCTACGGGTGTTTTGTTTGTTCTTGACTTTTCTACTCGCATGCTATGTCCTCTGAGGTGTCCCGATCTAGTGGGAAGAAAAAAAGAGGATACGTTAGGTCCGAAATCATTTCTCAGTATTCTGTACATCAAAATTAAACCTCCCCTTAGTCTGCGACAGGACAGAGTAAAGAGGTCCAGCTTTTCCAGCCACTCTGTATGGTAAACCCCAGAATTCTGAAATTGCATGGGCAGCTGCCCTCTGTACTTCTTCCAGGATATCCTAGTCACCTTTTAAACAGGGCTTACAGCCTGAACGCATTTCTCAAGCTTAGTTCTCACCAAGGTTGTGTATACGGCAGTAGTATCTAACTTAGTGAATGTCCGTTTTAAAGCATAGTGGGCCCTAAACCCCGTAGGTGCGACCTCCCGGCATTAAGCCGTCGTCTTAAGACCATGAATCACTGCCACCCCAAGATCCTTCTGAGGCCGGACCACTGATACTGGCACCTCCCCTATGCTGTACCCATTAACCTTTGTATCCCCAAACTACATGTAGACACACTTTGCTGCGTTGATAAGCCCCAGCCACTCTTTAGACCAGTTAATCATATTATCTAAGTATGCCTGAAGTGCGCATGCGTCTGCGTCTCTGGTTATTTCTCTCCAGATTTTAACATCGTCAGCGTATAATAACATTGGAGACTGTACTATACTTGGGAGATTATTTACACAGTATAAAAATCTCACTTTGGATATATCAACAGAAGGTGCTGATGTTACTTGTCCTGGCAGAGAATTCCAGTTACTCAGTGTGAGAAACGGAACTTCAGATATAAACGATTTGATCTCGGTTTTTTGAACTTTCTTAGAATTTCCTCTGTAATGATCAGTCCTAGGCAGAGGGAAAAGATAATACATATTATTGCCAAGGTCATCGCTCAGTATGCGGTACCGTAACGAAAATAAGTTGAGGTGTCTCGGTCTTTCTCCGTAAGATAGGCTGGAGAGACCTCTTGCGATTATGGTCCCTCGTCGTTGGACTCGTTCCAGCATATCCGCCTCATTCTTGAAGCAGACTTCCCTAGCGGTTACTATACGCGTCACCATGTGAGAACACTTCGAGAGGAAGAGCTGACTTTCCCCATCTTCGGCCGTACCAAGGCATTTGGGGGCGCAAATTCAGGCTTAATTTTAGCGGTTATAAGGTGGTATGTAATAATGACAACAAGCAGACTCAGTTCGCTTTTATCAGTATCCATCATTATTACAGATTTAACTTAATGTAGATTTAAAAATGCTCGATTGATATAACCCCTGGTTTAGTACGAAGTTATTATTTATTGAGTGCATTTAATTTAGAAGAGGCAAAGTATTGTCAGCAAATATTGGGTTGTTTCACGTCTGCAAATGTTTCATTAGGTGCATTAATAAGAAGTTTCGATTAACAGTACATGGTAATGAGTAGCCTAAGAGTAACCTGGAAAATTGATATTTCTGGTTCACAAGTCTCATCTGGAAACTTTCGTGTCAAAATTACCAAGTGTGGTGTGTGCGCTTCTATTGTACAGAAGGCTTTAATAGATAGATAAAACAGGCAGTCCGTTATGTACAAAACTTGTGTTTTGGTTCTTACTATCATTTAGAAAGGATTCATCCCATTTAATTTCAAGCTTTACTAAACTTACTCCTCAAGAATTTAATACCCCAGATTTCTGTAATTTTTCTCCAAATTGGTTATTGATATAACTACCATCATTTGTCTTGATCGAACGAGTCAATAATAACACACCGTTCAGATGACTTTGTGTATTCTGTAGTAAAATGACTCATGAAGAAGAAGGAGAAAATCCGATACAACTTAACTAGATGTTGCATAAACATCTCAGTCATACATTCTGGCCTAAGACATGAACACAAATGTTTGACTAATTGAAATGTAGTTTAGCTGATGAGAGTACCTGGCCCACTATCTATCAGCAATATGTAGGATTACCGGTGAAGCGAGGTTTTATAAAGACATTCATAAAAACTACTTGTTTAGATTCTTTCTTGCAACCAAAAGTATAATCGTGAAGAGTGCTCACATTTCTACGGATTAACCCAACTAAAAAACCATTGTCGATTAAAATATATAAAAAAATTTGAACCACCATTTCTAGACAGAAGGTAACGTAATATCTGGTTGGCTGAATCTATAAGTATATTCGAATTCAAACTAGTGATAAATAGATCTCAAGTAAGGAACCAAACTTCAGTGTTTTTCATTATTTCAAATGTTTCTTGTGATTTATATTTACAGATAACCGGATTTTTTCAAGCTCTTCAACTCAGTACTTCAATCACTGCACCCCTGCCATCTCTCAGTAGGTGCATCTTACCCAATCCTTAAAGGGATCACCTGTCATGTCTAACAAACGCAAATCCAACACAAAAGATGAGTCATCTGATTCTTCCCTCTCAGATCTCGAGGAGGTATTTTTATACATTATTTATTGTACTTTTAGCCTGTTGTAACTAAAAAGCCTAACAAGTCAAGTGGCTCCACAAAGTCATCACACGTGACTACTTCAGGTGGAGACCAGCTAATAGACTTAACTGGGAAAAAGTTCGCGTGCGTAAGAGAGTTCAGAGGAAAAGCGTTTGTCGATATAAGGGAGTACTATGAAGACAAATCCAGTGGAGAATTAAAACCTGGAAAGAAAGGTAAGTGAACTCATCCTACCAATTATAGAAATACAATGTATGTGCGGCTAAACGCATGTAAAAAATTAAACTAAACAGTAAATTCAGCATATCGATACATGCACTTTGCTTTTTATAAATATCAGATTTTGTTACGTATAAGGCTATTGCAATATGTAATTGCTTAACTTAATGCAGTATAAAAAAATCACTAATCAGTGATCTCAGTCAGTTATATGAAACTTGCAGCCTGATACGTTTGCGTCAGTTCAAGTTGGCACAGCACAGCTGGTGGTCTGAGTCCCGTAGAAAAGTGCTGACTTCCTGCTTACAGTCCATGGATTAAGTCGCAATTAATGGTGGAAAACGATATGATATGGCAGTTGAGGTCTAAGGGTACTTATTTCAGGTCGTACATCAATTATAACTGACTAATATGGTTCAGTCTCACCAGCACATAAACCATTTATTCAGTGTTGGTCTATATATATCCTTCGTTAAGCCACCCCTTGTCTGATAGCTAATGATGAAATAAGGGTACATAAACTGTTGTAGTTGAGATGAGGTTCAAACATATAACTTATGGACCTTTAGTTGACTCATATCTTGCAGACTCAAGCCTGTTATAACAAATTTAGATCAGGTAACCAGATGTTAACCTTTAAAAAACATTCTCATTGTCGGGTAGGTAGAATTGTTCTTGATAAATTGTGTGATTACTTATTTATCATGTACCCTTAAATTCTGTTCACAGGAATTTCCCTTAATTTGGAACAATGGGAATATTTAAAAAGTTCAATTGGTGAATTAGATGATGACATAAGAAATCTGCGACGATAACTTTTCAAAAAACCACAGCTTCAAAATGTTTATATTAGCTGTATTTTTGATACATTCCCGATCACCTTAATACTAATAACTATTGCTTTGTGAAAAGTTGCCAGAAAAATCCTATTATTGAATTTAAAGATTGCATTTTGTTAGTTTTTTTTAATAAAAAATACAATTTATGGAGTTGTTTTTTCAACTTGATTGCTTTTGTGAGACTAATCAATGCAGGCTGCAGGTTATTTATTGTAAATATCTTCGACTTGTTACTCGCATATCGTGAAACGAACAAATGAGCAATGTTGAGACTAAGGCGGTAAACCTGTTCATTCATCTGTAAATTTTCACCGACTGAAATGGTTGGGATATAATCTATGGGTGTCTAACTACCCCCCTACCTCGACGAGCCACGCTTTCCAGTGTAGCAGGAGGTTGAAAAGCTAAGAAAGACGGAAACAAGTCCTTGATCGTCGATTTAAGCCATGTTGGTAATTCCAGACTACCGGGTTGGGGTTTGTGTAATATACGCGATCAGTGTTCGAAGACTTGGAGAGACAGCTGATGATCACTCGAAATGGTGCCCTCCATTTTTCTGTTGATCTTCAATCCTAACACTCCATAAATATATTCCCATAGCTTTTTTGAACGACCCAGTTTTTAGTCTCATTAAAATTACTACGACATTACTTCGATTTCTCGCTTTTCATTTCGTGCTACTGTGGCGTGGCATCCTGAGGCAACACACATTTGTGCCAAGCTCTATGATGATAAGGAAGGGTATATGAAATTCTTAGTTATCCTCAAACTGACAGTCGGATGTATGAGAAAAATCCAACAATTTGTATGATCAAACATCTCACTGAACAGTGGCAACGAGGCCAACGCTGAAAACTACATGAAAAGATTCCGGAAGTTTTAGCTACCGAAGGGGACTAACGATAACAGCAAAGTGACCACCAACTACATTCCTACGGAAAATAAAATCTCTTGGTATAGATTAATTAAGATTAAAATGTCAATCGCTGCAGCCTCCCTTACGAACACTTATGCGGTATAGTTTACTAGTCTAAGCGTCGTTAGCACTTAGCTAAAACATCACAGAAAAGCTAGCTGTAAGCCGGCAGAGGCAAGCTAACTCCACACTAGGAACGACATATGTTTACACCTAAGAAATGATACTTATTTGGCTACAACTAGTGGAACTCAGTCATTTTTTGCACTAGAATAAACTCAACTTTGTTTTTTAGCTTATTTAACCCTCCGCTAACGTGTGGTATAGACAGAACCGTGGATCATCACATCGAAACTAGAAGAGTAACTTAAAGAAAAATGTTTACTTTTCATACGTTTTGTATGTATGTGCATTGAGAACATTCATTATTCCTTTCAGGATACAACATAATACTTTCAGCACGTGTAACAACGGATTAGATGCATAAGTATCGTTGACCATTTCACATCACTCCATGTTGTCAGCAACAGGACACGACTCTCAATATTACCCGTCAACTGCCTCTTCTATCCCACTTTAGGGATCAGTTGCACTCGCCTCCAGCCACACTTCAAATTCCCACGATCTTCAGTCGACCTGAATGACAAGTTGATATAAGTCGTCCAACTCCTAGTATTCGATCATAGGAGTCTTGGAAGCATTGCTCGTATATCCTGGAACCACCGAGTAAGTAATGCAATTGTTAGGAAACGGGTACTAGGTAAGGATGGCAAATCAATTGATGAAGTAGTGAGACTTCATATGCCCAACCACCGACTGCCTCGGCGTGCGATGTTTTATGGTGTAGGAGTAGGTTGGAAGAAAGTTAGGGGGGGGGCAAAACATGGCATAAATTCTCGAAGTCATGGACAAGTGGGCTGAGCCATGTTGGTAGGTGTAAACTACTTGGTTGGGGTCCGCGAAATGATAGCAACCGATGGTTAAAGACCCTGAATGACTGCTCAAAATCATTTGCAATGGCGCAGGGGCATCCACTCTTTGTGTTCTCCCGAATTCTTCTGAATCCCTCGTGTCCCTTTTTTCCTCTTTCTAGATTTATTTCATTTTATTATACTTGTTGAATAGCATTTTCAAGTCCTAATCTTCCCGATTACTGCTTATACTTTTACTACCTCCACCACTATGGGATTTGAATCGACAATTGTATCTCTGTGCTAATGTGATATGGCAACTCGAACTGATGTATGTACGTACGAAGTTCTATGTTATTGCCGACCGACCTTCTATCCCACGTCTTACATTACTGAAGTTGGCTGTCAAAATCTCAATCCGTCGTTAATTTGACGAGTTTCCGAAGATATGGTTAATTACTGTGAATTTTTCTGCAGGTCGTGCATGTTATGTTGATGATTTAGATTTCTCTTACAGCTATGCTTACAAGTGTCTTTCCATGATAATTATCTTTTTTATTACAAATAAATGAGGTTTAATATTAGGAATGGAATGTTAATTAACCATCCTAAACAGATAGTAAGAAAGATACTTTGATTTACATCGCATTTCTTATAGATATGACTTGTAATTAAATGTAGCTAAATAAACAAGAAACAATTCTCAGATCTCATAGGAATAAGTGATAATCTTCAACAGATGTCAGAGATTCAAGCACTAAACATTAAGCAAATGGGTGGCTGGTTCGGTTGCTGTTTAACATTATTAATTTTCGCGTAACAAGGTTGTATTGGCAAAATAACGTAGAATGCATGACTATAAAAAACAGTTCTAAACAGACAAGTTGAATTTCATTTCACCAATATAAAGTGACTATACATGTTATCTACGATATGTCTTAATTAACACGTTTTGAAATCCTAGCATGGTAGTGATTGGAAAACTGTGTATAAAGACTGCATGAAAGGAAACGACTGACGATTAAATGACAGGTTACCATAAAGTACTCATGTACATAGAATGAATTGAAACCAAAAGGTAGAAATCTACTTTACAAAAAGTCGATGGATAAGAAATAAAAGCAATTCAATGCTTGTACTGTACACAAATAAAATACAAGTGATTATCATCATTATAGTAATAAAAACTGTCAGTTGAACTAATTTGCACGAAATTCGTGTGCATATTTGAAAAAAATACATGGGGAAAGACTTTTCATACAAGTAATCACATGGTGTCTAAAAGTGAACTTCAATATTACCTCGAAACAGCTCACAAAAATATTGAAGCGGATAAACATGTTACAACAGGTCAACGGTTGGGAGTCTGTCTTCATGAGAAACCACAACTGTGCATAAGGAATGTTATATGCTAATGGGACTTATTACAAGCAAAATATGTCATGTTGTATGTGAGACCAGAGTAACAAAATGATAAGTGTATGAATAAAATAATCGGAGAAAAATACATTTGAATAACTGTATAAGGAAATGAAATCCTGACTGCTCAAGTCATTTATAATAATAATATTACTATTATTATTGTACGTACTTGGAGGACATAATACTACATCAAAAACATAATACATGAACTTATTTAACAATGGAACAGCTTTATCCATAAAGAAATAGCTACATTGGTGTTGGAAGGGTAGGAAGCTCAAAACTTCATATCATGCATCTTTGTTGAGAACAAACAACATTTCTGGCCTTGTCAAATCAATATCAAAAAATGATGGTGGATCATTCTGACATTTACGGGACCAGTCTGTAATCACTTCAGGTTCATCACAATCCATCTTATTGTCAGGAGTATCTATGTAATCTTCCACATCAGATTCTTCGAATGGTTGACATGGTATAATACGTTTAGGAAAATTGGATTGCACCTCGAATTCTGTTGGTGAATCATCCTGAGATAATACAAAATAGTAGAGCAGCTGGAAAAGAAAGATTAATGTTATGGAGTGTACAGATGAATAACTTGATACGGTATGATCCAAAATGAAATATTTTGTAAAAAATCACTGAAAATTACCTTGATAGAATCGTTCAAGTTGAAGACGCGAGAAACTCTGGAACCACGTGGCATTTTGAATGATAACTGTACTGTAGACCCCTCTTCAAACTTAGGTGGTGGTGGTAACCTACTTTGCCATATACGCTTGCGATTAATGTGAGCCTTTTTTAGATCCTCCTTTCGTTTTGCATCCTTGGCTAGCTGTTCCGCTACTAAAGCAGCACTTCGTTGCTGTGCCTCTCGAGCAGCCACTTTAGCTCGGTCCTCAGCAAGTGATGCCTCATAAGCTAAGTCTTGCTCACGCCTCAATTGAGCATTCATTTCTCGTTCACTCCTGTTAAAAGAGGGAGTGGAGCGTAAAATAATGAAACTAATAGGAAGTATGACAAAATCAAAAATAAAGAAATTGACAAGATATGGTTTGAACTTCGTGACCAGTACTGTAATGGTCTTTTAAGTTTCTTTATTCACCTGTGCAGTTTATACTTTTAACATATAAGTTGTATGCATCAGAATAATTGTTAGATGTATCATGAAAATCTATCTTTTTTAGAACGGATATTTATACCATTTCGATTTATATAAGCTTAGCTTGAAAGCATAAAAACAAGAGAACGCTAAGTATTAGTTCAGCATACGTAACACATGTCTTAACCAACTAAGTTGATGATTTACTACCTCATCAATCGATTCTTACCTAGTACCCTATTCCTAACCCAGATAATGGTTGCTCGATGATCCCAAACACACGGTCAATGTTTTGAAGACTGATAACATACGAATATCCTCTATTCTTAAGGGCCATGTTTCACATCCACAAAGTTGGATGGAGGGAACTGCCACGCAGTAAAATCATCATCTGGTTGGGAGACGGATATCCCATCTACGCCACAAGTGATACAAGTTGACGAAAGCCAATGGGCCTTCTAGATAACCATACAATGATTAAAATTTATTGTTTGAGAATTATGAATTTCATGGTTTTGTATCTTCCTGAATTCACGCAACACAAACAGACGGGTTACGTTCGTGAAATTAGTATGAAAAGAGATCATTAAAAACAACAGTAAATACTGAGAATTACAAACAATGTAATGATGCTAGTAAAAGATGTATGATAAGGGGTTTTAGAAGAATGAACCCATCCAAGACAGCGGAATATTTGATACGTTACTGAAGGAAACCCTTCAGTCGGTTACAATAACTCAAGAATTGATTAAGCAACAAGTTTATGTCCAATTCAGTTATTAAAATTGAGTCACAT